GCTGCAACGTTTGGAGCTGCCAGCGCGTTTGGAGATGCGTGGGGACGGGGACGGGCTGGGCGAGGGGTGGAAAGGACAGGTGGCTTCGGGCTCTCTCCACCAGACCTGCTGGCCAGGGAAGCAGCGCTGCTGTCACCTTGCCTCCCTGTCCGCGGATGGGTGGGTGCTATCACTGCCTCGGGCAGCCTCTCCCGGTGGCCCCTTCGGGGTCGGACTGGAGGGGCTTGGGAAGCCAAGCTCGGGTCGGCCTGGCTCTTTCACTTGGCAGGCGGGCACGCACCCGCGGCTCACTTTCCCAGCTCTGCCCAGTCCACCCGGCTCTGGTGCGGCCCTGGCGGGATGAGCGGTGGGCCCGTGGGGGAAGCGCTCGCTGCCTTGGCCAGAGCTCCGCTGCCGGGCAAAAGGGCCTGCCTGTCAGCTGCGCTGGGTGCCCCAGGCAAAGCTCTTCGCGCTCTGCCCAGCGCCAGGCAGGGATGGTGGCTGGGCGCTTCTCCGGGGGTGGGCCGATCCTGCACTGTGGCCCCGGAAGATTTGCCTCCCCATTTGGGGTTGGGCTGCCCTCTTGGGCAGGGGAGGCTTTGTCATACTGGTAGTAGGGCATCGTTTTTAAAAGAATGGGCTTTGCCTTCGAACGATGCCCGGGAAGGCAGCGACAGGAGCACCTGAAGCCGAGTGTCTCTGCCACACTCCGGTTGCAAGGAGGAGCCCTGGCTGGCCATGCGTGGCTGTGCCAAACACCGCAGCATTGCTCTAAATGCCACGGCAGCACGGGGAGAAGGGAAAGCAATGGTGGAGGAAGGTCTCCCGATATGAAGTGCCCCACCAATGCTGAGGTCAACGCAGGCAGCACCATATCTGGGTGTGCAACAAAAGTACTTCCTAACGGCAAGGCCCCCTCGCCATTCCCCCCCATTTCGCATGTTTTAATATAAGTCTTAATTTTGGGGGAGAAGCTTAATTTCATTTTATGCCGATAAAACATGCTGGGACTTCCTATTGGGGGAGGCTGTATTGTTGGAGAAACACGGTAGAATAGAATAGAATTCTTTATTGGCCAAGTGTGATTGGACACACAAGGAATTTGTCTTGGTGCAAATACTCTCAGTATACATAAAAGAAAAGATACATTCATCAAGAGTCAAGAATTATAAGGTACAACACTTAATAATAATCATAGGATACAATAAGCAATCAAATCATACTAGGAAACAGTCAGTATAGATCGTAAGGATACAAGCGACAAAGTTACACTCATACAGTCACAAGTGGGAGGGGATGGGTGATAAAGAGTGATGAGAAGGTTAATAGTAATAGTAGTGCAGACTTTGCAAATAGTTGGACAGTGTTGAGGGAATTATTTGTTTAGCAGAGTGATGGCGTTTGGGGGAAAATGTTCTTGTGTCTAGTTGTTCTGGTGTGCAGTGCTCTATAGCATCGTTTTGAGGGAAGGAGTTGAAACAGTTTATGTCTGGGATGTGAGGGGCTTGGCATTGCCTTCTTCTAGGATGTTAAGAGATAGGCTTCAAGCTGGCTTCATGCCTAAGTTCTCCTGTTTCTATCCTTTAACCGCTACATCAAACTGGCTCTCAAATATAATTGCAATCCATATAAAGAAGGTGGAAATCCACATGTAACTTGCTTTAGAAAATTAATCTGAAATGTTTCAAAAGCTTTTCAGCTTTTAAATATTTTAATGCAGCAGAATCTAATTCATCTTGAGCTATGTCCAAAATATCTATTAATAAATGTAAATTGTCTGATGTCTAGTTTTAATAAATCTAGACTGAGATGGATAAATTATGTATGATAACACTCACTGCAATGATTTAGCCAACAAAACAGTTAATAGTATCCACCTTAATTAATGACATGGGTTTATACCTTTCCATAGAATTTAGAACCTTTACCTGATTTTAAATTCATTTTATATAAGCCTCATAAAAAGATAAAGGCAATAAATCATATGTAAATTATTTAGTATAAACCTCTTATAATATTGCACTCAAAATAACTGTACAATATTTATACCATTTAATAGGGAAATCATCTAGGCTGGAGGCTTTCTGCTTTTCATCATTTGAATTGTCTCAAATATTGTTGAAATTCCAAAGTTGCTTTCAAAATTCTTGCACAATCCTGTGGTAACAATTGAATTTACTCAAATTTACTCAAAATATTACTCATTTGCTGTTGATCTACTGTATCATCAAGATCATAAAATTACTTATTTTATATTAAAATACAAGTGAAAAAGTGTAAATTAATTATATTATATTTTGTGTTTCTCTTGTTTTAAATAATGTGCTGATAAATTATGAGGTTTTTTTTTTCATTTTTCCCCAATATTTAACTAATCTTTTCAAAGAAATTTTAATCTGATCAACCTAAAAATTATCTATCTGCTACTTGGATGAATGTAAACTGTGGGATTCTTTGTATATTCTAGTAAATATTTTTTTAACCATATTTTCCATAAATTTGCAACCAAGAATTCTATTATTCCTTATCACAGAGACAATAACACACCTCATAAGACTTATATGCATCTTTTATCATCAGTAGGCTAGTTAGAATCTCAATTACATTCCAAAAAGCTCTCATGTTTGCTGTTTGATATAATAAAAAATTATCCCGTTAGATGGGACACTCAGGGGATAATTGATTTTGCATACTTATTGATCAGCTGAAGAGTAAACACCAATTGTCTCATGATTTTCTCTGCCTGTTTTCCTTATTCTGAAGAAGGAGTATAACTGCATGGTTGACTTCAAAATAGGCTGGAGGAATTGAGAATGTGAGATTTTTAGTTATTAGGGCAAACATTCAGTGAATCAGTAAATCCCAAATATTCAAAATTATTTTTGCAATCTTAAAAACTAAAACCTTTCTTTTTAAGTTCTTTTAATTAAGAATTAGAATTTTAAGGATATGGAATACTGAATGTAATTGTAATAGTTGGGTCTGTGTAATGCAATAATGAAAATGTATCAGAGGCTACAGAATCTCATGGCAATTGCAATTTCTATGTTTATACAGTACTGGGCATTGAAATTTGCCGCTTTTTTTTTTTTGAAAAGTGTTCTTATTCTTACAGCCTCCGAGTGTACTGGACTATCCACATTATGAAGGTTGCGTTGAATTAGATAGCTTAAATGACAGAATTTTCAGTCTGTACAATTTCAAGAGGACTTTTAATCTTAATACTACTGTGGTGCAACCGTGCAGGAGGTAATATTTTTTTTTCTAAATGTGTTTTAGATAATTATCAATGTGGAATGTTGTCAAGCACAATCTATCACATTCTGTTTCTCCTATTCAAATATGGATATTTATTATCAGCTTTTGAAAGCTTCTATGTATCTTTTAAAATCATATTCAGATTTTAAGTTGGTCACGTACACAGCCATGCTACTCCTTGTTCTTGTACCTATTGAAATCTGATCTACAATAAAGTATTCCCCTCCACTTATTTAGAATGTTATTAATTATCTGTAAGGTCAAATATGGGTGGCTGAAGCTTTCAGTGAGCTGTTATTATGATTTTCGGGGATCTATATGATGAAACCATGTAAACCCTACAAAAGGGCAGAAGTATTTTCTGACAAATGATCAGAATTAATATTGAAGGACTCCTTTAGGGTTTGAGCTTGGGTAAACTAAGTGCCCTCTGGGGTTCTTGACTGAGACATCCTCTGAGATGACATTTTCAGAATATCCTTCAGAGCATATTGACTCCAATGGTCATACCTTGGAGATGCAGTCAATGCAAAGTGTAAAGTGTAAAGCAGGGGTGTCAAACTCGCATCGTCATGGTGGCATCATGTGACTTTTTCCTCTTCGCTAAACTGGGCATGGGTGTGGCCAGCGCATGATGCATCTGGCCCGTGGGCTGTGAGTTTGACAGCCCTGGTGTAGAGCCACATGGAAGAAATGACAAAAACTGCATGGTGCGAATGTGATTCAAGCCTTAATCTTTTTCTACATGTATTGTGGCAATATGTACATGTATTAAAGGGATGGAAGTTATGGCACAGTGCTTTTTTTTTTTTTTAAATAAAAGAGGTAAATCTATGGATGCCTCTGGGTTAGGTTCATTTCTGAGACCAGTGTATGATATGGGCTGGCATAGGATAGACATTTTATTACCACTTGAAGAATGCATTCAGTGAGAGCAGAAGAAGTTAGACATTGGACTAACAACAGTTAAACTTATTCACAATTTCTTTTCTGTATGCCAAACTTCTCTTTCACATTTATAGATCTTATATTTCAATTCTCACTGAGATTCAGTTAAAATGTTACATGCATTCTCTTACTTTCCTTATTCTGTGATTGAGCTATCACATTGCATTAAGCCCATGATGGTGAACCTATGGCATGCAGAGCCATTTGTGCCAGCACGTGAGCCGCAGGCAAACTTACTTCACTACGCATGCACGTGCCTCACAGTTGATTTTCGGCCTGTTTGAAGGAAAGCCTTTGCAGGCCGAAAAATAGGCCCGTTTCATCACTTCCTGTGTTTCCGGAAATACTGGAAGTGATGAAGCGGGCCCATTTGTCATCCTGCAAAGGCTGCAGAAGTTTTCCTAAAGTCTCTGGGAGGCCGAAAATCAGCTGGGAGGCACAGTGCAGGTAAGAGGGCAGCGTGGGGGGGCATGGGGGGGATTGCACGCGCATGCGCAGGGGGCGTGGGGGGTGCGCATTGCCTTCTGGGTGCTGGCATGTGAGAGTGTGCGCACAAGCGCGTGCACAATTTTTGCACAGGAGCCCAAAAAGGTTAGCCACCACTGCATTAAGTATGTTTGCTTTTGATTCCATGTGGATTAGCCTTACGAGATAAGTCCAGATGAGAAACACACCCAGACATTCGAGTTCTATCTTTATTATAAGATTACATTAATTATTCTATAGTCTGAAAATAAATCTCTGTTCCCTCAGTTTTACAATCCAAGAAACTAAGGAGCATTCCTTCTGACATGTTTGCCATACCTACATTCTTTTTGCTGGCTGAGCTATCTCTTATCTGACCCTTGCCTAGTCTATAGCTCTTCTACCTGTCTCTCCAAGATCATTCATACACGCCATTAAAGTATATTAGATGGGACTTTGCATAAACAATTGGATCAAGTCTTCTTTTCAAAACTTTGAACTGAATTGCTTAATTGATTCAAAGTGACAGATTAAGTGGATGCCTTCAAATAGATTTTGATTAACTATTGTGCAGGTGCTATAGGTTTCTTATTGAAGCAACTTGATCCACACACATGAAATCAAAGTTGAATTGCAATTGTATTCTATTTATTTGATATATATATCCCACCTTCCTTTGGGATACTTTTTCCTTCAATCCCCCACCCTCCCAATGCACTGGGGTACTGAAATACTGTGTAAGTGATCCCAAGTCACTCAGTAAACTTTAGTGGCTGAAAATGAAGAACCTGAGTTCCCTATCCTAGTTTAGTCTTTGAGCCACTATCCCATCTCTTTGAGCCATGTTTAAGCTTCTTAACAAGCTCTTTATGAGATCCCACTGATCGTGATTTTGAAACAAGGACTGGTGCTCAGCATGATGTTTGAATTGTGACTTATTCAATAAATATATTTGAAACAAAAATAGCTTAGTGTAACTTGTGAGGCAAGTTTTGAAATTCAAAGAAATGTATACAACTGCAGGATGAAGAAAGATAAAGAAGTTTGGTTAACTTGCAATTTCTTCTCAGCTTTATTTTCTTCTCCGCTTTATTTTTGAATTCATAAAACCAATTGTAAGATATTATTTAAACTTCATAAATGTGTAAGTGTTAAAAACAATAAGGAGGAAACAAATATCTGTGAAGGATTGACGTAGCTTTCACATATAGTTTATTTCCTTATGAAGGGAAACACCATTTTCACTTAGCTTGACTGTTTTCTTTATTTAAAACATTTCTTGATATATCAGATATGCTTGGTAGGATGGTAGCATTTTCATCTGCAAATTTCTATATTTCAGATACAGAGAACAATCTGATGAATTTTACTTTGAAGGCATAGGTTATGCACATATCAAAGTTTCTTCAGACTCAGCAAACATAAGATATGAACAAACCATTCAAACTACTTCAGATGTCGGGTTGGTGTTCTTTGCAGAAAATCAGGTAATTAATATTCATGTAAATGTTTCCAGGCAAAGTGGAAAGTGGGGAAGAAGAGGAAGGAAGGAAATTAGGCACAGGGAAAGGAAGATCCATACAGATAAATTGTTCTGAAACAATGTAAATAGGTCAATACTAACCCAAAATTAGTATCAAATTATTGAAAATAATTTGAAACACAGATTCAAATAACTGATTGTTTCAGATTCACTGTATTAACATACACTGTATTGTTTGAAAAATTATTCATAAACAGTTTTAATAGTTTTGTGATATAAAGAAACAGACTTGGTGGAAGTGTATCTCAGAGATCTATTATATATGTATTTATGTACAGAATGTATGTATGTATATTTGTATAGTATGTTTGTGTATGTATGTACATTATACTCTTCAATCCAGGGTCTAAATTTCATCCATAGAAAGAAGATCATTCTTAATCCATTTAAATCTTTTTTCTTTCCTGTTAAGGGATGATGTTGTCCTAAATGCATCTGGGAAAAGCTTCAAAATACCCAATTATTTTATTCATAGTTTAAGACTTAAATAAACAAGAATAACTGCTTAAATTTTTTTAATGAAAATTTATAGAAAGTGTCTAGCAAATCAGTGGTCACCAGAAGCCTCATTCATTCCATTATGTGGAGTTTGTTGGTGGATGAAGTTGTCTTCTGAGTTGGGGCCATCTGAGTGGGAAAATTGAGCTGTCGGTTTGTATTTTGCACCCATCTCCAGGGTCTCTTCAATAATATTTGATTTAAACAATAGTAAAGGCATCTCATAAAATAATTCTATTAACTAGCATAATCCCAAAAGAAGGGGAATAATTTGTAAAAT